AGATTAGAAAATCAAGCAGAGAGATGTTAGGTGACTTTCTCAGAGTCCCACAGGCAGTGTTAGAACCTCATACATGGTCCACAGAGTCATCTAAAGTAATAGACATTTTGCAACATTGTCCATCCAGTTATTCCACAAACCTTTATTGGACTATGAGCCTAACAACAGTGCTAGGCCCATGATAGCCATTAAAAAAAACTTACAGTTTTCTTGCGACTAGGTACTTGTTAATTGCCTTTGTTTTAATGTTTATAAAGAGTCAGGGGAAAAAAAATCAATATCTTGGTTTTTATATAGCCTTTTTCCTCCCTGAAAAGTGCTTCAGGCATACTTTCTTTTCATTCATTTCAAAGCATCCTGGTGTGAGAGCATAAGAATTTGTTACTCTTTGGGAAATTGAGGCCATGGCTTGGGAATGTTATGCGACTTTATCTTGTGTCTTAGGACCATAATTTTTTTTTTTTAAATTGTACTTTAGATGAAAAGTTTACAGAACCAACTTTTCATTAAACCATACACACATTGTTTTATGACATTTGTTACCAACCCCACGACATGTCAACACTCTCCCTTCTCGACCTTGGGTTTCTCATTACCAGCTTTCCTGGTCCCTCCTGCCTTCTAGTCCTTGCCTTTTGGCTAGTATGCCCCTTTAGTCTCCTTTTGTTTTATGGGCCTGTCTAATCTTTGGATGAAGGGTGAACCTCAGGAGTGGCTTCAGTACTGAGCTAAAAGGGTGTCCAGGGGCCATACTATCAGCGTTTCTTAAGTCTCTGTCAGGCCAGTAAGTCTGGTCTTTTTTTGTGAGTTAGAATTTTGTTCTACATTTTTCTCCAGCTCTGTCTGGGACCCTCTGTTGTGATCCCTGTCAGAGCAGTCAGTGGTGGTAGCCAGGCACCATCTAGTTGTACTGGACTCAAGTCTGGTGGAGGCCGTGGTAGTTGCAGTCCATTAGTCCTTTGGACTAATCTTTCCCTTGTGTCTTTAGTTTTCTTTATTCTCCCTTGCTTCCGAAGGGGTGAGACCAGTGGATTATCTTAGATGGACACTCACAGGCTTTTAAGACCCCAGACGCTACTCACCAAGGTACAATGTAGAACATTTTCTTTATAAACTGTTATGCAAATTGAGCTAGTTGTTCCCGAGACCATGGTTGGATCCTAACATGAATGTCAGAACTAGAACCCATATTTCCAGCTTTCCTTCCCAATATAAATGCTGTGGTGAAAGTAGAGAAAGAATACACAAAAATACAGCTGAGCCTTTTTAACTCCATCATGATACAAACGGTCTGGGACCTAACAGTAGTTCAGTCAGAGTTGTCAAAATAATTTCCTATCTTGCTATTAACACAGCTGGAGCAGTGGAAAGAAATATACCAATTTAAATTACTAAAGAAAATTTAAATCACTTTTTCCCCCTTAAAATAAGTGTAGATTTCCCCAAGACTATAGCCCCCAGGGAAACCTGGTGGCGTAGTGGTTGAGAGCTACAATGGCTAACCAGAATGTCGGCAGTTTGAATCCACCAGGCGCCTCTTGGAAATCCTATGGGGCAGTTCTACTCTGTCCTTTAGGGTCACTCTGAGTTGGAATCAACCCAACAGCAACAGGTTTGGTTTTTTTTTTTTTTTGGTATAGCCCCCAGACACCCTTTTAACTCAGTACTGAAGTCACTCCTGAGGCTCACTCTTCAGCCAAAGATTAGACAGGCCATAAAACAAACAATAACCCATGTAGCTCAACTACATATACGAGAGTAAATGGGCATACCTGCCCAAGGGCAAGGACGAGAAGGCAGGTGGGGACAGGAAAGCTGGACGAATGGAAACGGGGAACCCATGTTTGAGAAGGGAAGACAGTTCACGCATCGCGGGGTTGACAACCAATGTCACAGAGCAATATGTGTATTACTTGTTTAATGAGAAACTAATTTGCTCTGTGAACCTTCATCTAAAGTACAATAAAAAATAAGTGCAGATTTGCTTCTTGCTGAAACCAGTAGCATGCTGGCATTGGCCATTTTTTTAAAGGAAGAAAGTCGCACTTATTTCACATACAAAAGTGAGATGCTCAAAACGCATAGAGACCAAAGTTTATTTGTGGTTACCAGGGGCAGAAGTGAGGAGGGAATTGGGGGTTATTGCTTATGGGGTACTGAGTTTCTGTTAAGGGTGATGAAAAAGTTTGGAAGCAGATAGTGGTGATGGCTGCCCAGCACGGAAAACATAATTAATGTCTCCGAATTGTACACATAAAAATGGTTGAAATGGCAAATGTTCTATATTTCACCACAACAAGTTTTTTTAAGTGAGATGCATAAATATATTATGGATATTTGCCAATTGCAAAACCTTATAAATACTTCCCCCTAATATTCTACTAAATTGGGGAGAGGGCAGTTTTTTTAAAAATCACCTTTGAAGATTTTTAGGGTAAAGGGAAAAAAAGGGGGGGGTCTTCAGAATGAGAAGGTAAGCACTGTTTCCAGCCTGAACTGATCTTGCAAAGCAAGCTTCAACTTCTTGAGCTCTGCTTTACTGTTTCAGGTCAAAATGCACGATCAATGTATGCTATTCCCATTGTATGGTTTTGCTCAGCATATCGTACAAGAAGTGGGAAAAACATTGTTCCACAACGTTTCTATAATTAAAAAAAAGTCATGGTTCACATCTTAATTATTGTACTCCACTTTCATCTTATAAGCCATTCTTTAGCAGTTTTTTCAGATATGGGGAAAATAGTACTATAGCTATAAATTCTCATGATAAAGGATATGTGGTCACCTACTCTATGAGATTCACTGAGTTGATTTGCTACTATAACTTAAAACTAGGGACAGGATTATATCCAACCATCCTCCCGCACCCCTAAAAACACGCACGCACACAAAGCCCCTGAATACCCACGTGTTTGTTTGAACTGAAAGTTTTAAGAAAAGTACCATTATTGTATTGTGTAGATTTCTATTCACATACATCCTTGAGTAAATATTAAAGTGCGTGTATGTTTATAATGCTATAATGTATAGAGAGATAGTATGTCTCCTCCACAGTGCTGGTAACACACTTTTCTATCCTACCAATCTCCCCATTCCCAAACCCCTTTTAATTTACAGCTTACTGTATTCTACCTTTATTGTTCATATCACACATCATCAGCCCTTGAGTTTATCTTCTTGTAAATTTGTTCAGTCACTTGTAACACCTTCTTTAATTACCTGGATTATTTAACTTCTTGTTTTTCCCTCAGTGAAGAAATTGAAATGGCCTTTAACCTTTTTCACTTCAAGGTCAAGAATTTTTTTTAAGGTGAAGAAATGTGCATGTTAAAAAAAGAAACTTGGAAACGGCTATTTTATAAATACGTGACTGTATTTTTCTTCATGCCCAGAAACTCTGATCGAATGGAATTCAGGTATATTCCTCCAAAATCCACACAGTTCAAAGATCTAACATCAAGTTTTCATTTGTACCAAAATGGGCAAGATAATGAAGGCACAGGCGCACTTTCTATGAATAAAGGACATCAAATACAGTCACCAGGCACTAATGACACAGAAGCATGAGTGTCCAATCACGAAAAGCAGATGTTCAAAGTCCTCAGTAACTTTTCTCCCTTTAACATTTGGCAAAATTCAGTCTAGATATTTTAATACCTCAGAAAGAAAAAATAAATAAGAGATACTGCATTATAAATGTCAGGTTACCTATAATGAGTCTTCAGAAATATAAGAAGGGTTAAAAGGAAGGGAAGGGAAAAAAGATTTCCTCTAGGATTATCCATCCTTTCTGAGGGTCTCAGATGTTCGTGTCTGTAGAAATGCCAGCTGTACCTGAAGATCTGAGAAGTTTTGGGTAGTTGCTGACATGGTCCCTCAACACTATGAAAAGTCTGTATTACAATCATAAATCACAAAACTAGCTTGATTTCTGCTTTTTAGTTAAAAACCGGACGCCAAATGTGATTATTTAAAGGTGATCTAAAAAGTTTAAAATAAAGGAAGAGATATAGTCTAGCTTCCCAATAAAAAAAAGGATTACCTATTTAGACAAATGGCAAATAAATATACTTTAAAGCCAAACAAGTTCCTCTCCTCTATCTATACATAGTAGGAAAACAAGCCTGTTGTTTCTCTACCGCTGACGACCACATCACTCATAGAATACATTAGGAATTAGTTTCACAATTGTAGGAGACTTTTCCCATAATGTAATATAAAAGAGGAGGGTTTAAGCTGGGTCTGAGCAGGCAGAAGAGATCTGTACTGACAACGTCCCTATTACAAGCAGATGACAATGAACAACAAAACAGCGGGATCTGTTTACGTCATAACTACCGTCTATGTGATGTACAGCTACTTGCTTGCCCTGGGTTAATGTCACCCACTGCAAGACTAGAGGTGGCAGTCACAGAGCATGCCACTTTACAAGTAAGCCTAAGTCTACAACTGCAGAAATAACATGGACATGTATCAGCCTATTCAAAGTAGTTAAATGGACATATTTTTTAATTTTCCTAGGAAATTCATTTTGATAGTATTTTCCAAGTCCTTCGACTAAAGATACTTTGATTATTTTCGTCTTTTTACATCAGAGTCTACCAAAAGTTTTGTTTTGTTTTGTTTTGCTTCCAAGTATCAGGAACAAGGGCACTGATACAGCAAGTATTCACAATCGTTGCTATTTTTCAGTGGGTTACAATAAACTGTTCTGCATGCTTAAAAAGTTAATTGTAAAGAAAAATAAAGAATACTTACAGGAGGATCTCAACAATTTGGTTTTTTTTTCTTTTTGTTTTAAAAACAGCCTCTAATATTCATCTCTGACAACACAGTATGTATATATATATATATAAAGTTCCTTTCCATGCTTATTACATAAAAATAACTATCAGAAATATCAATCTATCAGTGACAGCTGATATATATCCAATTAATTCACTGCTGAAGGGAAAGTAAGAAAAAAAATCTAAAGTAATCATTAAAGCTCAGAGTTCAAATTTTTTTTCCTTTTTCCTTTTTTTTTTTTTTTTTTTGCGTGTTTGAAATTTTTTGATGGTTTATCTGTGTTCTGTTGCAAGCTGATTCCCAGGTTAATGGCCTCCCAGGAGATTGGAAAGGAAGCCTGAAGACTTCTTACTTTGCTGTGCTTCTGCTTTCTGGTCTTGTGTAAGTCCCAATTCACTCTCAATTTGATCAAGCTCTGCCTGGTCCAGTAGTTCAAAGTCATCACCTTCTTCAGCGTCTGTGTCCTCTCCTAGGCTGGGTGCAGCCTGAGAAAGTGCTTGCTGCACACCCTCTAACTGGTCTTTGATAGCAGCAGTCACTGCAGCTGTAATGACGTCCCCAGCCAGGTTGCTCATCAAGTGAAAGGCTTGGTCACTGTTCAGAGGAAGGGTGAGACCAGCTGCTGACTGGTTCTCTTTGCTCGGTCTGTGGCCACCGTCCAACTGTTCCTTTTTTCTCTTGAGCTCAACAGGCAAGCCAATGCTTAATTCATCTTCATCATTTGTTCCCATGCCATTTTCTAGAGATGGAAATTCTGAAAGTTCTTGAGAGAAAGCTTCCTGCTCGCTAGGTCGGTCAAGATCTGTGAAATGTATAAAAGAAGTCCACGTGTAAGCACCATAACAAAGATAAAGCAAACATCTGTGTCTAACGAGATCTGATTTTAATCTGAACGCTGTGGTCAGCCTTGACATTCATCTAGCCCCCCAGGTCAACTGGAATCACTTAGGTGGTTAAGCACACAAACACTACATGTGTGCCCTAGATTTTTTAGCTTTTTTGTTAAGCACAAAACTGTATATGTAATGACTTAATGTTCAATCTCGTCTAACATTAGCTTGGGGCTCTGACTAAAGTTTAAATGTTCATCATAAACAAATATTCCATCGAGCCCTTGTGCTGGGAATAGTTTAGCTTAAACCAATGTATAGATGTGTGATCATGAAATAAAAAATATTACAACTAGATGTTTTCATGGATTCTGGTACAATTAATGGTGAATACTATCCAACCCCAGCATTTTTATACATGGAGATGAATTTGAGTATGCCTAAACCTGTGTTTGTTTAAAGCAATGAAATAAAAGAAGCTACTGCTCCGTCTTGTAAAGAACAAACCAATCTGTCTTGGAAGGAGAACACCAGAATGTTCATTAGAAGGATGGCGAGATTTTGTCTCACATACTTTGGACATGTTATCGGGAGGGACCAGTCCCTGGAGAAGGACATCATGCTTGGTAAAACAGAGGGTCAGGTGAAAAACAGGAAGACCCTCAACGAGATGGGTTGACACAGTGGCTGCAACAATGAGCTCAAACATAGCAATGACTGTGAGGATACTGCAGGGCTGGACAGTATTTCGTTCTGTTGTACATAGGGTCAGCTATGACTTGGAAACTGACTTGACAGCACCTAATGACAACAACTGCTCCTTCTATTTCATATTTAATCCAAGAGCTTATGGAAACATTTGGCTCTCCAAAAACAGAGCTGAAATTGATCGTACCTTTTAACCTAATTCTGGTCCTTGAAGAGTTGCCATTGAGTCGACTCTGACTCACGGTGACCCCATGTGTGTCAGAGTAGAACTGTACTCCCTAGGGATTTCAATGGATGATTTTTCAGAAGTAGATCACCAGACCTTTCTTCTGAGGTACCTCTGGGCAGATGTGAATCTCCAGCCCTTCAGTTAACAGCCAAGTGCATACGCATACACACACACACACACACACACACACACACACACACACACACACACACACACACACACACACACACGAACACTTTAAGATTCAAGATACTTGAAAGCAATGTCAGGTTGGGGGCAGGCAGTGATTTTAGTGTTTTCACTTTTTATAGATAAAACAGGTGAAAATCTATTAGTAAAAAAGTTAATTCCTTGCAACAGGGATTTAAAATCTTCAATTTAATTAATTTAATGAGAAGCTTTATATGTGGACTGGATTATTCCCTTTTGTTACATAAATCTGAGATGGATGCTCAAGAACAACGTACAATGTTATCTTGGTCTTTAGTATATGAGCAAAATTGTAGATAATGAGAGTTCGTGGTGCTTAAGTGGACTTCAGGGGTCTTCTTCCTCTAATGCACTTGAAAAATGAGGAAATTGAAGTCCACAGAAATTACGGCACCTGTCCAAGGTCACAATTAACTAGTGACAAAGGTAAGACCACACTTGGTTCTCCCAACCTCCAACCAGTCTCCTTTCACATCACTGCCCAGCCTCCCTCCTTCCTATAAAAAAGAGTGTATTCTTACTTGTAAAATATGTAAAAAACAGTTTACTCATGATCCTTATTCAGAGTCTGCTCATACTTTCAGTGCATGGCTCAGATGACTTAAAATAATCCAATAATCCAATGAGTCCAGCAAAAGCTAAGGTCAGTGTACAAGAGCTGTCTCTCTTGATTTCGGTAATAGATGTGGTCTGTACCTCTGTTTGCATTAGTAAAGAATGCAGTGCTTTTTTAACTTTGAAGAAAAATATGAGAAACTTTGCAGCCAGCTTTGGACTTGGGGAACTTGCCCTTCCTTCTTCAGCATCTCTACTCCCTTTAAAAAAAATTGTTTTTAAATTTTGGTGAAAAATAGATAACAAAACATTTCAACCATTTTTATGTGCATAATTCAGTAACATTAATTACGTTCACCTCTTCAGTCCCTTATGAGGACTAGGCTTGAATAATGGAGTCCCTGGGTGGCACAAACTATTAAGCACTCAGATAGTAACTGGAAAGGTTGGTGGTTTGAATCCACCCAGAGGTGCCTTGGAAGAAAGACATGGCAATCTACTTCCAAAAAATCAGCCATTAAAAATTCTTTGGAGCACAGTTCTACTCTGACATACCCGGGCTCATCACGAGCTGGAATCGACTCAATGGCAACTGTTTTTGGCCTGTATGGGGTTAGCTTCTCCATCCCCTCCCCCCACTACTGCAATAAACAGTGCCACTAGACATTTCAGAAGTTAATTGTTTTCATTGTCAATTTTTTTATTTGTTTTCAAAATAAAGGCAGATTTGGACACCTACTTAGACTTTTTTTTCTCAAGCTTTTAAAAATAAGTGTTAGAAAGATATTAATTCACAAACCATAAAACTCACCCTTTTAAAGTATACAATTCAGTGGTGTTTAGTATAGGCACAAAGTTTTGCATCTATCACCGTTATTTAATTCTAGGACATTTCCATCACTCCAGAAAGCAAACCCATATTCAGTAGCAGTTGCTCCCCACCCACCTCTCCCACCACCCCCAGGCAACCATAATCTACTTTCCATGTCTACAGATTTGCCAGTTCTGGACATTTCATATAAATGGAGTCACAGAAAAGGTGATCTTTTGTGTCTGGATTCTCTCACTTAGCATAGTGTTTTTAAGGTTCATCCATGTTCTAACATGTCTCAGTATTTCCTTTCTTTTTATAGCCAAATAATATTCCATTGTATGGATATACCATATTTTATTTACCCATTGTAATGGTTAAGATTTAGCAGCTGACAGAAGTTACATATTTTTGTATGAACTCATAATAATAAAAAAAATAAAAGTCTCCAAAAATATGAACCTACCGTCAGATGTGTCTGTCTGTGGAGTGTATCCTTCTGAAAGGTTGAAGGTCCCGTTATCCGTCCAGGATACCTCTGATACGTCAGTGTCCGATACAGATAATTCTTTGGCAGCAACCGTGAGGCTAATCTGTGTCAACGTAAGTGAAATACCAGTGGCACATTTAAAATTTCTAATGAAAATCTTTTGAAAAATCCATACTAAGACCAAAAAATGTTCAAACGAAAGTCAGCATTATTATTATTATTTTTTCCTTTTGAGATTGTTCAATCACCTTGTAGAAGCAGGAGGCATCTATCAAGAAAACCGTTCAGCTTTGGTGCATGTAAATACATTTACAGTCAAATGACACCGGAGAAAATGGACAACTAAATGACAAATACCTTAGGACAAAGAGCTGAAAAGTCTAATTCACTGTCATCCTTGTGACTTTTTTCTTTATCTGCTTCTGTTGAGAAAAAAATGTGGAAGTTTTCAGTTTCCTGGCCAGCTGAGACATACTGTATTTTTGTTATGAATTATATATTCTTACCCACATTCCTCATATTCTCCAATGCCTCCATATTAATTAAATGTTTTCACATAACAAGCTTCACATATTTGCAAAATGCTTGATTTCCGAAGGAAATGGTCTCATATCAGTAGTTCTCCAAGTGTGTTCCCTGGGCCAGTAGCATCAGCATCCCTGGAAACTTGTTAAATATGCAAATTCTCAGGCCCTACTCTAGACCTACTGAATCAGAGGTTTGGGAAGGAGGGAGGCAACAGTCTGAGCTTTAATGAGCCCTCCAAGTGATTCTGATGCAGGCTATAGTTTGAGAATCACTGTTCCATAAGGTAATAAACCAGATTAAGAAGTAAAAAATGATCACATTGGTTTCCCCTATTTTCTTTAGTTGCTTTTCCAATCCCTTCTTTTATATATATATATATTTTTATTTTTTCCAATCTCTTCTTATCTGACTTCCTAACCCTTTCCTATCTATGTCAATTTTCCATTTGCAGTAGTCCAACCCAAAATAAAACAATTGAAACAAAGAAAATGAATCATAAATAGAAAATACAGACTTGTTTAACCCTCTTCTCCCTCCCCTGACAATTTGGATAAGAAGTCAATTTATTTAAGTGTATGACTGAGAAGAGAATAAAAGTCTAAGACTATATTATTTTTTTGGATTATCTTTTGTAACAATATTTATTACAAGGCTAAAAGTACCTTGCAATGTATTAAAAGTGATTTATGTCATAATAAAATTCATGAATGGAATCTAAAGTTCAAGCTTTACCTACCAGATCTCTCACGTCTCTTCTGATTAATATATTCCCCAATTCCAAAGTCTAGTTTCAACAGAACTGACTTGATTTTGTTGTATAGTTTTTGTCCAATATCGTTACACTTAAACAGTGGACACAAAAATGCAAACAGTACTGAAATATAAGAAGGAAGATAGGTATAGGTTAGATAATCTTTCTTTCAGAAGGCTACATCTTAGAATTCCACAAAAAACTACTTCAGTTCCCTTACTGACAAATAAGAGTTTATTTCTGAAGGAAATGCTTCTGTGAAATAAATTCATAATTTCTATTCTACCCCCTGTAATTAAAATATTTTAATACACAGGCAGACACACACACACACACACACACACACACACATACACACACATACACAACGCTTACAGTCACTGTTTCCAAAGACTATCAATTACATCAACTCCCTCCTCTCAATCCTTTTACCCTCAAAATTTATAGAAAGATCACACGGTTCAAGACAACGGTCCTGGATTAAAATCCCAATTCTACATATTTATTAAATCCTCTCTTACCATGGGAAAGTTATTATCATCTATGAGGAATGGAGTTTTTATATTTCATGGAATTTAGATTTTCTGATGCCATCAGGGTGGAGAAATGACCCATCCAAACTATCTCCCTGAGATAATGTTTGAACCTTAAACCTTAAGTAAACTGGTTTCCTGAAAGTTATCTTTAAGTCAAACAATAGTTTAGCTGAATTAGTAAAGAACGTTTGCCTTGGGCATTGTGCTTTTTTAAAGAACTATATGCAGTCAGAAATTCCAAAAGTCAGACTAGAAGTTATGTTTTAAGGTAAATCAGTAATTTTCTGAATTGTTCTTTAAGAAAATGTTGCATGTCCACACGTTATTATGTAAACACTTACTCTGGCCCTGCTTCCATGGCAACATACACCATATGTTTATGCAAATAACACTTCTATGTTTGTTTGCCAACTGCTCCCTCCCCTGGGAGGTATTTTTATAATTGCTGCTATGCCAATTTTTTTTACATGTTGCTGTAAAAAAAAAAAAAAGATTAGCATTGCACATTTACAAAAATGCCTCTGGGGGGGAGGGAGCAATTGGCAAAGAAACGTAGTAGTTGTGTATTATTTGCATAAAAATACACTAATTAGTAGTGTTAAGTTGGAATACAAGAATCTGTGAAAAATTTTTCTTCTTTGGAACGTTTTTGACTCTCTAGACAGAAATGTTGCCCAACTTGCAAATCGTATATTAAACTTCAATCAATTTCTATTATAGGCTTAATAGTATTTTTGTTTTAATATCTATTAGCCTCTCATCAGTAGTACTGGGATAATAATATTATTTCCCAGGGTTGCTCTGAAGACTAAATGAGACAAATGTAAACCATCTGAATAATGCCTTGCCCATATTAGACTCTCCTTCCCGAGCCCTCTTCTCCCTTAAATCCTCAACAATGTACATCAAGAGGCTGATATTCTACAAGCATTCTATTTGGGAAAACGGGTTTGAGCTCAGACCATTTGCCAAGCATTGTGGTCTGTACTAGAGATACAGAAAGAAATGAAGACTGCCACATTACCTGCACTCCCTAGTATTTATTCTTTTGTTGTCATTAGGATATGTGCCCTGTTACCTTTCAAAATAGGAGTTATAAACTCAAATTTCTCTAGAAGCCAGGAAGGTGTATGTAAATTAACAAAGCAAGCTGGTGTAAGAAAAATAGGGACATAGGAGAGTTAGAGAAGAGGCGAGTGCGTGACCCATCTAAAGGTAGCAGCACCAGATCTTCATATTTTTCAAGAGAAGCAGGAAATTCACACATTTTTAACAGCTTCTTGAGGTATAATTGGCCTATAATAAACTATACATATTTCAAGTGTGTAATTTGATAAGTTTTTATACATGCATACATTTAATAAAGACTGGCTTTGTCCCAGGTTCCTGGGAGGTAACCTCTAGATCCTTGGAATTTCCCCAGTGATGGGAGTATCTCTGTTACTCATGGTGGGCACCTCGGACCACACCTGTTTATGCTAATGAGATAATTCAGGGTGAGGGCTGGCCACATTGGAAAGACCAAGTCGTCATTAGAGGTTTGGAGCTTTGAGCCGCGTGATACTGCCCAGTCTCCAGGGAGTGGAGGGAGGCTGGAGATTGAGTTCAATCATGTGGCCAATGATTCAATCAATCGTCCTTATGTATGAAGACTCAATAAAAACGATAAATATTGAGGCTGAGGTGAGCTTCCCTGATTGGCAATATTCTGTATGGTCACATGTCAATGTGCCAGGAGGCGGAAGCATCCTGGCTCCAGGAGGAAAGGATAATGAAACCCTCCCAGACCTTGTCTCATGTGTCTCTCCCTTTGGTTGGTTCTGATTTGTATCCTTTTGCTATAATAAAACTGTCATCATAAGTATGATACTTTTAGTGCGTTCTATGAGTTGTTATAATGAATTATCAAACCTAACAGGATAGTGGAACTTCTGAATTTGTAGCTAGCTGGTCAGAAGTGAGGGCAGACCTGGTAGTCTGGAAGACTGTGTCCCTAACCTATGAAATTTGGCCTAATTCTGGGTAGTTGGTGTCAGAAGTCATTTGCAGCACATAATCCAGAAAGCTTCACCACAATCAAAATAATGAACATTATCTTACTGTTTTTCCGACTCATAGCGACCCTATAGGATAGAGTAGAACTGCCCCATAGAGTTTCCAGGGCTGTAATCAGAAACAACTCGATGGCAATGGGAATCTTTATGGGAGCAGACCGCCAGGTCTTTCCTCCCATGGAGACACTGGTGGGTTTGAACTGTCGACCTTTCAGTTAGCAGCCAAGCACTTTAACAATTGCGCCACAAGGGCTCCTACATGAACATACTTATCACTCTCAAAATTTCTCATATTTTTTAAATCCTTCTCTTCTGCTCCTCTTTGCCCCACCCACCTCATCCCCAAGCAACCACTGATCTTGCCACTAAATGTTAGTTTGGATTTTTCTAGACTTACACATAAATGGAATCATATAGTATATACTCTTTTTTAAAAATCTGGCTGCTTCTACTCAGCCTAATTATTTTGAGAATCACCAATCTTCAGCATGCACCAATTTTTTACTACTGAATAGTAATCCATTGTGTGAATATACCTCAGTTTGTTTATCCATTGATCTGTTGATGGACATATGAATTAAATTCAGTTTTTGGCTACTACAAATAAAGCTGCTATACGAATAGTCGTGTACAAACCTTTGTAGAAACATCTGCTTTCACTTCCCTTGGGTAAAATACCTAGCTGTGGAATGACGGGGCCATATAGTAGCTTTCAAGACACTGCCAAAGTTTTAACCAAAGAGGTTGTACCATTCTACCTGTTCACGAACAGTGCATGAGAATTATGGTTACTCAGTATTTTTAATGTTAGCCATTCTAGTGGGGGTGTAATGGTATCTCATTGTAGTTTTATTTTATTTTTTTGAGTCAGGGAACATGCAAAGGGGCTAAGATATTGGCTTATTTGTAGGGGTGGGGAGCATAGCTTATTTGTAGTTTTATTGATGTACTTTAAAACAAAGAACATTATTCACTTATAACCCTACCTTTCACAGCTATTCTTCCAATTTTAAAATAGAAACATGTCTACAGGAAAAACGAGAAACTTTGTAGAGCAGGAGAGTCAAGAATAATCTCTTTGTTTTATAATTAGGAACTCATCCTTCCTCTTCCAAACTATGGAAGGTCTTGCTGACAGTTAAAACGATACCACATGCACCACAAGAATTCGGCAAATGTTCAACGATACAGACTTACGTAGTAGATAGCTGAGTATCACCCCAGGAATGTAACTTCCCAAGACCGTAAAGAATGTGCACACGCTGCAGACCAGAAGACAAAACTAGAAATAAGACAGATAACGTGACAGTTATTCATAAGACCAAGATACTTCAGAGTAAAGGACATCCACAAAATTACTATTTCTCTATATGGGCTCTATCAGGTTAAGGCAAATGTTTTTCAAACAGCGTTCTTCTGCACCTTGGGCCTGACCTAGTGACTGCTATGTTCAACGAGCCTTAGTCCATTTTACCACTGACTAATGATGATCTTGAGGGCTCAAGAGCTTATTTCAATCACAGAGAATAAGGACCGCCATTAACCATGCCTGTGGCTGTATTACTTCCAGGTACAAGAGAATGGAAGAGTCATATGTCCCCAGAAACTTCTGTTACTAAGCATCACTTAATGATTATCACAGCCTGGTAACCAAATCTTCAATCTACTTTATGCCCGTCAAAATTCACACAGAAAAACATGTCACTGAAATTAGAGGCATTTACACAAATCTCATGATAATCTGAATAGCTGTTAAGCTGCTGGGATAAATCTACTAGCTATCACCATCCTTCCAAGCCATGCCCATCCCTCAAGTAACACCACTTATAGGTCATGTAGAACCCAAATGTCAATAGGAACGGAACACCCACAGTCATATGTAAACCATTATTTTCCTCCCCTTCTGTCAGTTATGACCTCCCCCCACAAAAAAGAATTCTTGGTTGTTTTAAGAAATTTAAAAACAATCTTCTGAAAATGTCCTTAGTTCTCATTAGGAACATCAAGACAGAAAACTTTTCCCCATAAAGTCGTCATTGATTTCCATACTCTATAGACTTAAACTATCTTGCTTCTTTGGCTTATTTCTAAATGGTGCTATTAAACTGATAAGCAAGCAAAGGAAATTCATTAAGGGAATTTCAAAAAGACACTAGAGATATATTCACAACAATGACCAAAAAAAAAAAGAGTAGCCGCTGAGGCTGATTATGTACAATCAAAAACCTCACGGGATTTGGTTTCTTGGTTTGGAGATTTAGGGTCATGGTTTCTTGGGTCATCCAAGTTAATTGGCCTAATAACATGTTTAGTGCCTCTGTGCTACCTCCTAGTTTGTAGCATAAAGCCTGGGGTCTTAAACGCTTGCAAGCAGCTATAGGCCCAACAATTGTTCTCTATTCACCTGGAACAACTGAGGAAGAAAGAGAGTCAGGAATAGGAGGAGGATATGGAATGTGTGGGTAATTGCCTCCATGAACAACTGCCTCCTTTGCCATGAGATCAGAAGAACTGGATGGTGCCCAGCTACCATTACTGAACATTTTGATCAAAGATTCCATAGACAAATCCTGATCAAAAGGGGGAAAATGCACAACAGAATTTCAAATTCTCATTAACTTGAGACTTTCTGGAGCCATGAAGGCTGGATGAATCCTGAAACTATTGCCCTTAGATCATCTTTAAACCTTAAACCAAAAAAATCCCCTGAACTCTGCTTAATACCAAACCATGGTTTAGCTTAACTAGTAAAGAATGTCTGCCTTGATCATTGTGGTCTTTTACCAACTATCTATACGGGATCAAATTGGCAGTAGCAACTGGAAAGATTAGATAGAAACTTAAGAGGGCAGTGAATTTATGTTAATGGAGGAGGAACAACTCAGAAAAGAAGGGTGAGAATGGTTACATAACTCGAAGAATGTGATCAACATCACTAAATGGTATATGCAAAAACTGTGGACCTGGTGTATGTTTTGCTGTGTTGTTCTCAACAACAACAACAAAATAAATAAAATTATATATATTTAAAACAAAAAGACACTCAAGAAAGGAATACATACCTCTGAGCAATCACTGATTACAAGAAAGACAAAGGAGATCTAAATGTTAGGTTAACTTTGACTTTTCATTTTTTTGGCACAGGGTTCATAAGGTAACTAGTCAGAAGGAGAATAGATGAACTAACGGAATAAAATTAAGAGCTGTTTCTGAAACAGCAGGGGCCTTTGAAATAATTTTTAATTCTAGAAGCAAAATGCAAGAGGAAAGGCCATAAAAGTCTAAAGAACAACTAGGTCTTTGAAAGCATTATTCTATCCAGAATCCATTTTTGCAAAGGATTTCCTACTATCCACTAGATCTGTGGCATAATCATCTTAAGCTATTTGATTGTGGACACTACTTTGGACTGAATTGTGTCTCCCCCCCCAAAAAATATGTGTTGAAATCCTAATCCCTGTACCTGTAAATATGTGCCCATATGGAAATAGGGTTTTTCTTTTGTTACCTTAATGAGGTCACACTAGAGTAGAGCGGGTTCTAAACCTAATCACTTCTGAGTGATTATAAAAAGAGTAGAATAGACACAGAAACACACACAAGGAGAATACACCATATGAAGACAGACACATACAACAGATGCATCTACAAGCCCAGGAACTCTAAAGATTGCTGGCTACTAGAAGCTGAAATTGACAAAGAAGAACCTCCCCCTAAAACCACGCTCTGAATTCAAACTCTGGCCTTCTGAACTGTGAGAAAACACATTTCTGTTCTTTAAAGCCACCCCCTTGTGGTACTTCTGTTATGGGAGCACTACGTAACTAGAACAAGCACATTAATGCAAACCAATGCAGGAGTTTAAAATGTAACTTCCCCCTCTCCAATATGTACATCTATTCTAAAAATTTCCTTCAGTGATAAAAGAAAACAAATCCATCCTATGTATATCACTGCCACTTTAATGCGTATAATTCTACTATTTAATAACTAGTGATGTCGAGAGATGCTTGTACATGGTACAACAAGAGCGTCTTTAAATGCTACATTCCCAGGCTCTTCCAACAACTGGTGGACGTTCAAGACACTTGAATGCCACACTGGAAGAGAAAAGGTCTGTTGATGGCTCTGCCCCTCAACCACACTGTCAATACTGTCAATCGCACATGAAGCTGCTCCTACACGTAAAATAATGTCACAAGTGCATGCGATTCTCTGTGCAGTCGCTTTCAAAACACTCTTCCCCTCGTGGATTTTTATCTTAATTGGAGAAAATACTCATGCCATTTATATGATTGCTATGAATGCTTTTGTCAAAGGTTTTCTTTCTAACAAAATCACACATGCGTATTCGCTTTTTAGTCTGAAAGTGAGATTCAATTATCTCTGAAAGCACCCTCAAAGGACTGTGCAGATTTATTTCCATTTGGCTTCGAACCTAGCTGTGATGGTTAAGATTGTGTGTCAACTTGGCTGGGCCATGATTCTCAGTGTTTATCTGTGATCACTCCCATGATGGAATCTGCTGTGAGTAGCCAATCAGTTGACAGGGAGTTTCCTTGGGGGTGTGGCCACATCCAGATATAAGCAGATGTTCTGGCTTTTTGCTCACTCTGGATACTGCCGCTGCCTCCTGTTCCTCTGACCCCCGGTTCTTGAGACTTGAGCTGTCAGCTTATCTGCCAATCTTGGGATTCGTCGATCTTCACAGTCTGTGAGCGGGAGCCCTGCTCTGTGACCCATGGATCTTGGGTTCGCCAGCGCCTCCAGCTACATGAATCAGGAGAAGCCTTGTGGTCTTGTCTGCTGATCTTGGGATTCATCGATCTTCACAATCTGGGAGCAAGAGCCCTACTCTCCGCGACCTGTTAATTTTGGGTTCACCAGCCCCTGCAGCTATGTGAATCGAGAGAAGCCTCTATCCTGATCCATGGAGTTGAGATGTTCTAGCCTCTACAATCACATGAGCTGTTTCCTTAATATAAATCTCTCTCTATATGCTTTACTGGTTTTGCTTCCCTAGAGAACTCAGCCTAAGACACAGGCTAAATACTATGAACCGATTTTTTCAATCAGAGACTTTTTTTTTTTTCTCTTTTGTCTGGCTGACAAGGCTAATCACTATTCATTTTAGTTAATGAGCCAGATAAATGTGTATAAAATATAAAGCCAATCCAATTTTATATTATGAGGTAGGGGATTTTCTCGTGTTACACACTAATATTTCTGCACCCTGCTGACAGCAGTGTTTACAGCACACGTTCCTAGTGTATCATGTTCAGAATTAAAGAACCCTTACAAGCGGATAAAATAGGTTAGTTCATTTCTTGCCAGTTTAGTGGACATTCTAAAGCACACAGGGTAATTCTCCTGTATTGGGAAACTCACCTTGCCAGGGCTCTGCTGTTTAAAAACAGACATTTCTTGGAGAAAGATGCTGAAGTTCATCCATGATTCTGCAATACAGTGGCTGAGTCTGGTCCTTTCATCTGGTTTGGAATTGATAACTTCCCAGCTAAAAAGAGAAAAAGAAAACAGACAATTTGAACTGAAATTTTGGATTATTATTTCAACATTCATTGTTTCAGCAAATATTTACTGAGCACCTACTGCTGGCCACACACTCTGGGAAAAGCCCCATGGACTCAGGCGTAAATAAGCCTCACGGAACTCGCACCATGTTGAGAAAAGTGATGCAGCTAGCTACACAGTTAATTATCCAGTTACATCCAGGGAGAAGCTATGAGGGAGAAAGGACAGGGTGGGTGCTGTGGGGCAGCTTCTCTCCAGAAGTCACTTTTAAGCTAAAATCTCCATTAGGAGGAGATGACTGAAAGGGTTTGGAGAGTTCCAGACACAGAGATCAATGTACAACATATGCAAAGGCCCTGGGGTGGGAAGAAGCTGAAGGCTCTAACCTGCTGGGCCCCAATGTGGCTCCAGCAAAGTGAACCAGGAGAAGAATAACGCTGCATGAAGCTGGGGAGGTAGGAAAAACCCAGGTCATACACGGCCCTTACAGACATGGAAGTCACAGTGCTTTTTAAAGAAAGAGCCTGGCATTAAGTATAGACAATGACACAGACAATGATGCTGACTACTGCTACAGGGATTGCTCCCTTCCGATAACACGTCCAAAGTAAGCGAGACAAAGTCTCACCATCCTCGTTCTAAGGAGCATTCTGGCTGTACCTCTTCCAATAGAGTTTTGTTTTTCTGGCAGTCCATGACATGTTTGACACGGTGGCTCAAATATATCTACTATGATGAGGATGGTGCAGGACTGGGCAACGTTTCATTCTGTTATAGGTAGGGTTGCTATGAGTTGGAATTGGCCCAATGGCATCTAACAACACTACTACTACTTATAATACTACTACTACTACTACTTACAATAACAATATTATTGTTACCTCAATAATTATTATTACACCAACAATTAATTTATTTTCACTATATCCTGTGGTTGGTCAAATCTGATTACCTATAGCAACTTGTTAAACTCAGCAGGATCTCACAACATCCCCTATTTTTCTGGGATATCTTTTCCCAATCATCAGTTGACAAAAATTCAGGTTTATTTTTAAATTAATTTTAATTTTCTAAGTAAAACAGAAACAGTAAAGCTAATCTTGTAGGGAAAAAAAAAAGTCACATGAATTCTACAACTAGTCAAATTCTTGGACTTCCTAGGTCATTGTTCTCACTCAGAAAGATAAAGATTTCTCTCCCGAGTGAGTTACACATCTGAAAGCAGTGATTTTTCCCCCAATGGTTATCTATTTTTTATTAAACTTACAGATATATACAATGTTTTCCTTTCATATGGGCTGCTCCTGACTATGCATGCCCATATGCATGCCCATTGAAAAGAACAGTAGCAAAAATGATGGAAAAATGCACACTCGTTCTATTCATCCAATGAAAACTCACTGACCATGACTATGTGCCAGGAACTGTTCTGACTACCTAGGATACAACGTGAACAAAACAAGACCCTCCAAAAAAATCTCTGTCCCCTGCAGCTTATATAGCCCAAACCAAAACCAAATCCACTGCCATCGAGTCGATTCCAACTCATGGCGACCCCACAGGTTTCCAAGGCTGTAACTCTCGGTGGAGGCAGACGGCCACATGTTCCTTCCGAGGAGCCGCTGGTGGTTTTGAACTGCTGACCTTCCATCACTTTAACCACTGCGCCACCAGTGCTCCTTGCAGCTTATACACTAGGGACTATAAGTTCATCAGCAGAGTTGAAAGTAGAATTATTAATGTTTCTCCTGTCTCGAAGTCACAGTGGCCATGTTATAGGAAAAACTGTACAAAGTTGGAGAAGGTACAAGTAGGAAGAAGGACAGGGTGCGGGGGTAGATGGAGAAATCAGGGTAGGCTTGCTCTTCAATGAAATCTAGAGCAAGGCTGGCAAATTCTTCATGTAAAGGGGTCAGAGAGTGAATATTTATTTTAAGCTTTGCAGATCATACTGTCTCCATTGCAGCCATGGATAATACATAAACAAATAAGTGTGGCTGGGTTCCAGCAAAACTTTATTTAAAGATATCAAAATATGAATTTCATATAATTTTTTCACATCCCAAAATATTATTCTTTTGATTTTTTTCAACCCATTCAAAAATGTAAAAGGCTACTCTCTGGCCGTACAAAACTGGCAGTGGGCCGTATTTGGTACACAGGCTGTGCCAACCCCGATTTAGAACACCAATAATAACACAAGCATTTTAATACTCTAATGGGGGTGGTGGTTGTTGTTATATTGTTATATGCCATCAAGTCAGTTCCGACTTATAGCAACCCTACGTACAACAGAACGAAATGCTTCTGGGTCCTGCACCATCCTCACAATTGTTACTGTGTTTGAACCCACTGTTGCAGAGACTGTGTAATGGGGGGAGGAGGGGGCGGAATACCAAAACTAACAATATACAAAAAAGGAGAAAAGGGAAAAACATAGTCAGATAAAATTTAGTTTTATAACTTTTACTAATTATTCATTCTATAAACGTTAATTAACCACCTGCTGTATGCCAACACTGTGTATAGCTTAAAAATATTATCTATCCAAATGAGTTTTGGAAAGAGTAACAAAAGTGTGAGATGAAAATAAATGTAGAGACTGTGTTATGTAAAATTTAACGGAAATATATATGATTAAAAAAAAATCTGCATTGAAAGGCAAACAAAAAAAAAACTAAACTAAACCTGTTGTCGTTGATTCGATTCCAACTCATGGCAACCCTATTACAGGACAGAGTATAACTTCCCCGTAGGGCTTCCAAGGAGCAGCTGGTGGCAAGAAAAGATGTTATTCTACATTTCCTGAAATGAAACATGGACCCAAAAGAGTCACTCTCTGGGAGTTAAGTGATAATAGTTTTAAATTGTCTAGTGGTTAATTCTGAGTACTATAGGAACATAGATTTCTACAGTTTTCCAGCAATCTACCATTAATTTATGTCACCATAGTTCAATTTAGGTAATATAGAGTTATAAAAGAATCCTTGGGTGGTGCAAACGGTTAACGTACTCGGCTGTTAACTGAAAGGTTGGTGGTTTGTGTCCACCCAGGGGCACCTCGGGGGAAAGGACTAGCAATCTACTTCTGAAAAATTAACCACTGAAAACCCTATGGAGCACAATTCTACTCTAAAACATGGGGTCACCATGTGTTGGAGTCAACTTGACGGCAACGAGTTTTCTCGTTACGTGATTGAGAATGTGAATGGATGTCACTTTTTCTGATTCCCTTATTTGAACACGAGGAAATTGGAGCCCAGGCTTTCTCAGGGTTTGGGGAACAGCCAAGACCTAAGGCTGACACCCCTGACTTCAATTACAGTTCTGTGTCCATTAAAATATGTGCCCTCTTCAAAGAGTGCGTAAGTTCAATAACATCCTTTGAAGAGGCCACATGTTGAAATTTAGAAAGAGATGGGACGTTTGATGTTCATCCTCACTCCTTCCTAGACTCAGGAGGGAGGAGGTATAATTGGCAAATATCAGTGCAGCATCATTTAGGACCAGCCCTTTCCAGGAAAACGGAGCACTTGGTGTGCGGAATCCAAATACTCAGCTGAAACTAAGATGCATGCTGGGTGGTTGGTTGACATCTGCATGCACGCAGAGTTGCTCCATAATGAAACTCTAGGTTTTCCTAGAGAGTCTTGTGTGGAAAACACATAACCAGAGAAAGGATCTCCTGTGAACACTGGACGATGCTGGGAATCAGATCTTTTACACAGTGTGTGGCTAACTTCCCACCATGCTTGGCACAGCTGACTGTGTCACGGGAGGCCCAACGAACATAAAAGAAGAGACACATGGCTTGAAAACACTCTGAATCTTTACCAAGTTCTTAATCAAAGAGTACAAGTTGTCTATGATCAATGCTCATCCAAGGAAGAATCTGTCACCAATGGCTTCAGTATTAATATTCCAGGGATTATTATTTTTCCTTTTTAGTTTCAGAGAAAGCATCCATTTTCTGGGTTCAATGGAAAGTAAGGTCCTTTGCTCCTTCTTTGCTTCCGTCTTTCCCGTTTCACTCTCTTTCCTCCCATCTTTCCTTCCTTCCCCTCAACTTTCTCCCATACCGTCGTCTTCACTAAGGAGTGAGCCTTCTGCGCACTCCAGCCGTAAGAGAAAGACAATTTAAGAGTCACCCTCTGCGACCATCATCCCCAAAGTCACATAAACGCTGTGGGTCCTGTTCAAGTGATTTTGAAGGAGAAGTCGCTACAGCTCCCAGCCCCTCATGGCCTTGCCGTCTTTCAAAGGGCTTTGCCTGAGATCGACAGCTGTGAAGTACTTCCCAAAAAAGTTACCCAAACAAGGTCCCAGCAGATCTTATTTAATTAAGTTCTCCTTCATAAGGGAAACTAAAGTCAGGGGTTTTGACAAAGGACATTCTGCAAGATGAAGATAAGCAAAGCTTTTTCCGCAGCTGAGGAATTTATAGTTACACTTGCCTGTGAAACAATTTTAAGGGGATGAAAATTGGAAAGATGGTTTGTAAGACAAGCAGCCTCATTTTACCCACAGAAAACAGCTCTGGCTTCCCGATGGAATCTGAAGCCAACATCCATTCTTTCCGCCTCCCAGTCTCTAAAAACCCATTGCCGTTGAATCGATTCTGGCTCAAAGCGACCCTATAGGGCAGAGTAGAACTTCCCCATAGGGTTTCCAAGGAGCAGCTGGTGAATTCAAACCGCTGACCTTTCGGTTAGCAGCCTAAGCTCTTAACCACTTCACCACCAGGGCTCCAATTAGTTAGGTACATTAGGTTATATGGCCAGGCCAAGCCCCTTCTGCAGTTCATAAAGGAGAGAGCGTGTGAACACCCAGGGCACTGCTTAAACAGCAGATGTCTGGCCTCAGTCCGAAATTCAGACTGAGCACACCTGCGGTGAAGCTGGAGCCCTGATGGTACAGTGGTTAAGACCTATGGCTAACCAAAAGGGCGGCAGTTCGAATCCACCGGCTGCTCCTTGGAAACCC